ACCTGTGATGAAAAATGGGTCATGTATGATAACAGGAGACGTTCCGGACAGTGGTTGGATTTCGACGAACCACCGAGGTAATTTTCAAAGCCGAACCCTCACGAAAAAAAGATTCTGGTCACGGCTTGGTGGTCATCGGCTGGTGTGATCCACTATAACTTTTTATCACCAGGCCAAACCATCACAGCAGAACCCTACTGTGAAGAAATCGACGAATTGTACCGAAAATTTTGTCAGATGCAGCCAACACTTATCAAAAGAAAGGGTCCGATTCTTTTGCATGACAACGCCCGCCCACACGTTTCACAAATCACTATCCATAAATTGAACGAATTGGGGGTTGAAGTTCTACCTCAACCGCCATATTCTTCAGACCTTTCGCCAACCGACTATCACCTTTTCAACATTTTCAGAACTCCCTTGCTGGAAAATACTTCATCAATCAGGACCAGGCAAAAAAGCCTTCGTGGATTTCGTGAATCTCGACCACCCAGTTTTTTTTGATGGGATTTCTCGACTGCTGTCACATTGGCAAAAGTGTGCTGATTCGAATGGTGCTTATTTGGATTAAATCCGATGAGTGTTAAGAAAGTTATGATCGTTTAAAGTGAAACACTCGAAACGTGCAGAACTTTCCGGACAACCTAATAGATGCACTCCGGTGGCCAGAAAGGTCCGAGCCTGTACTTTGATATATTTCTCAAAAATCGTTCGGGGCGGCCGTTGTACTTCTTGTCACCGCTCGTTCCCCACATTTGAGTTTGCAGGTTGCTTGAACTGTCTCTCCAGGTGTTCTTTATTAGGTCATGGCAAAAATAATGACCGTTTTGAAGCAAATATTTTAAAATATCATAACTCGCTTCAAAGTGTTGCTTTTCAATCGAAATAACGACCAAAAGAATCAACACATTTCTGCCAACGAGAAGGCAGTTTAGATATTCCGGCAGCATAAAATTCTGGAGTTCTGGAATCGACGAAATCGTTGAATGCCTTTTCTACGTCGTCTTGGTTTCGGAAGCATTTCTCGCGTAAGAAAATTTCGAGATGCTTGAAAAAGTGATAATCCGTAGGGGAAAGGTCTGGTGATGGAGGATGGTCGAGAGTTTCATATCCCAACTCCATCAGTTTTTTTTTTGTCATCAATGAAACATGCGGTCGGGCGTTGTCATGGAGTAGGATCGCGCCCTTTCTGTTGATTAATGCCGGCTGAATCCGATGCAATTTTTGGTGCATTTTTTCGATTTCCTCACAGTACTTCTCCGCTGTGATGTTTCTCCTGGAGCCAGGAAGCTGTGGTGGATCAAACCGGCTGTAGACCACCAAACAGTCACCATGACCTTTTTTTGGTGCAACTCCGGCTTTGGAAAATGTTTAGGAGCTTCGTCGTGATCCAACCACTGTCCTGACCGTCGTCTATTGTCGTATTGAATCCATTTTTCGTCACACATCAGTTGCAGAAAAGGATCGTTTTTGTTCCGCAAAAGATGAGACGAACAGACTTCGAGACGACGAGATTGCTGGTGCTCAGTCAACTCATGCGGGATCCACTTGTCAAGTTTTTTACCTTCCCAATTTTCTTCAAATGACGTGCTACAGTTCCGAAGTCAACTCCCAGCTCTTCAGCAATTTCCCTTGTGGATGCTCTTGGTTGGCTTCTATCTGTGCCTTCAATTCGTCGTCTTTAACTTCCGATGGCCGACCGCGTCCCTCCTGATCTTCCAGGTTGAAGTCTCCATTTCGGAATTTGTCGAACCACCTACGCGTGGTGCGCTCATTTGTAGTACCTTCGCCCCATGCGTTGGTGATATTCCTAGCTGCTTCCGCAGCATTACGGCCGAGTTTGTACTCGTGAAGCATGATGAGTCGGATTTCGCGTCTTGACAACATCTTCGCGGGTGACCCAAAATCGTAGAAGAAATGGTGGCAGAGAAACGGGAAAAAATTTGTACGATAGCTTGAAAAATGTGCTTCCGAACGATATATTAAATTACTATATTTGCCTAAGTTTTCAATGAATTATGATCAGTGGAACATAGCAGGTGCGAAAACGATCATTTTTTTGCCACGATCACATGAAGAACAATGAATGAATCATTATTATTCAGGCTGTAAAACAACAGTATTGCACTTCAGAAGAGATTTTGCGCTTGCAACCTCTCCTCCCTCGCGGACAAGTATGACCACCCGCCCCCCCCCCTATATCGATTATCACAACGACGTGCCCTGGTTTCATATCTAATGTCGCATCCTCCCGGTTATATGTAAAGAAATTAATAAAGGATTCACGTAGCGCATTTCTGCGATCGCTTATGAGCAGTGTATGGGTAAGAATGTTCTGTTTCATTCACTCAAAACGTAAACATTGGCGTTTGTTGGAACTCTAAAGGCAGTTGGCACGATAAATCCCCCAAGGGCGACTAGGATCAATACTCCTGGCAGGATAGAATTCCGCGACCCTGGGCAGGCGCTGCATAGCGGTTTCCCCGAGGAAGGTGCCCTTATAAGGGCCCTATCAAGCCACAACTTTACGTCCCAAACGCCCGCCACGCCCGCCCGCCCACAAATGGACGACCGTTCCTGACGCTCGTATTCATTCATTTGCTAAGCAAATTATGAAGCGAAGGGATTGGTATGAAGCGGCCGTGATGCTGCATGCATACATGGGTACATGGGGTATATGCAGCCGTATCGTGGGTATATGCAGCCGTATCTTCGGTAGCGACGATTGATAAGACCTACAGGAAACTCGTCCGAAATCGACTTACAAGTCACTGAGAACTCCGTTCTTTCACCATTTCCCCGCTATAAGGCGCCATACTAGCTTTTCAGGCTAAATAGGAAACCATCGTGCCAACTGCCTTTGAACTCTTAACCTACCAAAGATCCGTAGCGAACAATCTAGACTTCGCTTACCCCGCCCATTTCCTTCGAGGAACAAATCTGACGTTCCTGTGCGACAAGACTGGTGGAACAAGGGATCACCGTATGAAACGTTTGCGCTGACAATGGAAACTAGAAGAGACGACTGCTGATCCTGCCATGTGCGGTACAAGAAGCTAGCTGCCTCAGGACACTTTTCAGCCGCGGAGCTCCCTTATTTCCTTTTTCTTCCTTCTAAATTCTTTGCCTACTTTCCATCTCTGTTCGTAGGCGTGGCTGCGTAGTTCAACGTTACGCGGCGGTGATTGTGCTTTTGGTGAGATATTTTCACTTTGAGAGAATTGTCTTTATCTCTTGACAAAGAGGAACAGTAGCACGATTGGGTGCTAAGGTATTTGTGGGACCACGCGGCTCAAGACGAGCGATGACTCATCTGCTCCGCTCCTTCCTCGGCAAGATTGCGTTCGAAACAGTGGCAGTCAAGTTAGAATAAAACAAACGAGATTCGCCGCGGATTTGATAGAGAGCTACTGGAGTAGAATTTTTATATTCTGCGGAGCATCCAGTGCATTTGATAGTGTCACTTTTGTACAAATGAATGAGTTCACCTAGGCCGGAATTCCTACCCTTTGAGGCTTAGGCAAAAATCTTCCGGCCTACATTTTTTCTTTTCAGCATTAACTATTTTACGTTTTGCACCTAGGGCGGTGTTACATTCATGTCCTAGGCATGATACTGTTACTTTCTCTCAAAGAAATCCCCCTGGACTTACACTCACACGATACTATTCCGCCGTGGATGGAGCAAAAAAAGCAGACGCGTCATCGCTGGTCACGAGATATCTGTCAAGCGGATGCTCTCTCTCTCGCTGCGAGAGTCCAGAGGTGTTTTCTCACCACATCTTCTGTTCGAGCACTCACGAGAAGTAAAATAATAAAAAGGGTGAGAGAAGGAAGGAAAAGAGGGAAGGAGGAGGAAGGCCCCGGTTAACAGATGTCCTGAGACCGTCATTGCTCGCGTGGATAACAATGAAGGAGGTGTCGAAGAACTATAATACTAGCGCGTCCGGCAAAACAGCCGCGGTATTTTTCTGCGGATATGGATCGCGGACACAAGAAGCTAACTTTAGTATTACCGCCACGGCACCTAAATCAGAGACAGCACCCTTTAAATTGTCCGTCTGTCGTAGGTGCGCTGAAAACATCACGGGCATTGAAACTACGCCGATAGTTTCCTTTGTCTGGGTGGAAGAAGACTGTTGTGTTTTGGATGCGCTAGGAGGACTTCGATGTAAAGATAGACCTGATCCATCTTTCTGTTACCATTGCTTCAAGCACTGTGGCGGTGCTGCGCGCCTGGTGCTAAACAAGGGGAGACCAAATCGTGTTTGCACTGTATGCGAAGCTGACTGCGGTATCACCGCCACACTAGCGTGATCCAATTAGAAGCAAAGAGAACTACGCCTAGAGACCTACTTTTACACAAATCGAAGACGCAACTTCAACTTCGAAAACTGTGCAGGAAAGGATAAATTGTCCCAAAAATTGCAGAGAGACGAGAAGCATTGGTCATTTTTCGATCTACTCCCGAAATCCTGTACATCTTCGAACTAATGCGCTTAATTCGTTTCGTCAACCCAACAATTCATTATTTCTTCAATTCTTCACCGATAAGTGAAAAGAGCCGTACCGACAGTTACCAAAGTAGAAGCAGTACGGAATGTTTCCTTGAAAGCTATCTTGATAAAGAACCCCTTAATACACGTAATGACCAACCTATAACACCTCAGTTGCACTCCATGGGCGAAAGCAAACACTTTTGGGGTTACGGTGATCGCCCGCGGTGTGCAATTACACGGCTACCCTTCGTGTATTTACGTAACATCACCGGCTGGTGGAACTTGTCTTGTCTGCTCAACTGGTTTGATTGCGGGAGGGGGGGGGAGAGGGGTGAATAGCTACAGCTTCTACAGTCTGTACAGTCTGTATATGGGTGCTACTTTCAAACTCTCAACTGATTATGCGTACATAAAAATTTCAGAATGCGGAAGGCATGATAAAGAAAAAATGTACTTTGCTGCTAATGATAATGTTGGATCTGCTTTTCATGGCTGTAGATGGACTACGAGTGAAAGGTAAGCTCTTCTTTTCACACTTTCTGCTTCTGCTTCACCCTCTTAATTTCTTCTGGGCAAGGTTTACTATACTAGGCAAGTGGGATACGGCTGCAGAACGTGTGAGGATCGTCACCAAATTTGGATTCCAACAAACTAGTGCTTTGGATCGCGAAAACACTCGCGGTTTTGTTTTCGGTAATGTGACAGCCGTGGGTGCTACCAACACAACAGGTGAGTGGTTTTGATAGTAATACTCTCTTGTATATTAAAAGCGGTCCGCACATGGTTCGATATTCAGAGACTGATGCGTGATATGAGGCCAAGTTCGTGCATGACATGATGGGCTTAAAGAAATGACGAATTTGCGGATAGAGGAAAGTAGTGTCTCGATTTGAGAAACTGCGGCATAGGTGGAAATGCGGAATCTGAAATGCCGAAATTGTGCAGAATCGGCATTTATTCAGTGGCGAGACTAATCGATAGATTCCCATCAGTGAGTTGTCCGATACTGCATTTCTTAGGATTCCGCGGTTCTTCAGAGAATTCCGCGGTTCTTCATATCGATAAATGCCTTTCTTCGGTCCGCAGTTTCGTCATTTCTTCAACATTGTCATGCGTGAGGTCGCGTCCATACATGATGCAGAAATCCCGGACAGCGGAATGTGCAGAACTGCGGAATTTGCAGACTTGGGGTGGGAGAACCGCGGAACTTGCAGAAGAAAGAAAGTATGTCTATCGATTCCAAAAATCGCAGAGTCTGCAGAAAAGCCGAAATTTCTGCATTTCGGCCCTCCCAATGGAGATCGGTCGCTATCATGTCGCTGTCCGTCGTTTCGGCATTGCTGCAAATTCCGCGAAACTTGCAGATTGAGCATTCCCCGATTTCGCACGATGGCAGGAACCAAGCGATCGATTCCTACCACTTCTTTGTCCGTCATTTCGGCATTTCTGCAAATTCCGCGGAATTTGCAGAAATGCGGAATTTGCAGATTCTGCATTTCTCCCAATTCCGCACGACGGCAGGAACCAAGCGATCGATCCCTATCACTTCTTTGTCCGTCATTTCGGCATTTCTGCAAATTCCGCGGAATTTGCAGAAATGCGGTTTTCAAATCGATGCGTATACATTTCTGTCTGCTTTTTCGGCATTTCTGCAACGTCGTCATGTATGAACGCAGCCCGTATGCGGCCTGAGGCCGCGTCCATACACAAACGCAGCCTCTGTCGATTTCCGAAGTGATACGCATTCATTCCTTTTCCATGGAATCTGGAGACACTGTGAATCCCTGAGATTTGGTGGGCGCGTACTTCATCCAAATGTGGCGCTGGCTGCACTTTCGGTGAAATATTTTCATTTTGACACAGTTGTGGTCATGTCTCTGTCCAACACTGAACAAGATGACAGATTGTCTCAAATGAAATATCTTTTGAGTAACCTGTTCTATGTTACACTCACATGCCACGCCGAATTCGCTCAGAGATAAGGAGTGTGAACGCGCATTAACACGTTGACGACCGCGCAGGTTTTTACTTTTTTCGGCCTCATGGGACACGCGCTTTCTCGAAAGCCACAAGCGCTGTACAATACCCGCGGTCCCAGGAGGAGCTTTTTTGGAAATTGGATCGGTAAACCTGCCTGGTTAAGAGAGCAATTGTAAACACTCACCATGGAAAAAACTAGGCTGACCAACTCTCGTTGCACTAGGTGCCAGAAATTTGTCTGTAACCAATGTTTTCATAAAAAAACACAAGTCGTGCCTTCTACAGGACTCAGAATAATTCATCTTATATTTTTTAATCATTATCAATATAGTATTTATTTGCATTTGTTAGTAAAGTGTTGGATAGAAAACCAATGCAGAGTTGAGAAGACAAACCAGTCCAAGCAAAGTGTTCTTCTCCAAGAAGTCTTCTAACTAGTGTGTACTGAATTATTCCATAGACTACGCATTGTGTAAGTACACTAAGGACTGGACTGTGGAATGAATGTGAGAAACTAAACAATCCAATCATGCACTAGTGAAAGATATGGATTTGTTGATCGTGGTTCGTATTCAATGCACACGGTCCCACGTAGCGGACGAAGGCGCATCTACATGCGATCTACGGTTGTCAATGTGTTAAACGAAATATGTTCCCAAGTGTACCCACTTCGCGCAAAATCAATTCGAATTCCGCGATTGCCTTGGGCTTCTTTTTCAGCCTTTTGCTGCATACATATTCGTAACCTCATTACAAATAATTGCTGTTTACATTTTCTATGGCGAGTACTGCTTTTAGGACAATTTTTATTTGCGTTAGTACCACACACGTTGATTGGCTCATTTCATAGTGATTCCCGTTATTCGATGTATTGCGGTACCATGATGCAGGTATGGATTTTTTAGAATTTCATCTTTGACACTGTTCGACTATTAATACCTCAGAAACTGGAAAGATTGTGCCGAAACTTTGGCTACACGGGTTGTTCAGTGCGGCGATCACGAGTACGACTTTCCTTTTTGAAGCTTCGCCAACCTGGCGCCACAACTTTTCTCACCAAAATCGGAATAAACTTGCACACTGTGGTTACTCGGTGCCCTGATCACGAACGTAACAATCATTTTTAGCCTTGACGCGATTCTGCGTCCTTAAGCGCCGCACCTTTTTTCCCCAAAATCAATCAAAACTTGCATAATAGGGTGGTTTGATGCCCTAATCACCTACGCACATGGCATTCAATATTTCGGACACTAGCCGCCATTAGGCTCAGTCTGTTTAGTCTGTGGAGAAGTGTTCGCTTCAGCTAGGCTCTGCCTTAGCAGATCATAGATGATAGTACTGCCGGTGCCAAAAATGGATGACCTTATCGTAATCGAGGTTTCAAATAATCTCCGTGTACAACTTTTCATTTGTTTCGGTGATCGAGGCTTTCTGGCACCGGGCACGTGTCGCGGTCACCAGGCAGTTTCAGGCCCAGCAGGTGTGATATGCGTGTTCAGCAGATCACACTATCTTTGGAACAGGTTTTCAATCCACTCTGTCCCCGTAAGAAAAAGACTTCAAAAAGTGACCTAGTTTCTGGAAGACTGGGTTAATAATAGTTGAATAGTGTTTTATATTCTGCCGACTTGTCTATGACACTATGACATTTTAGAATCTCAGCAAAGTGGGCTTCGACTTGCGTTGTTTCTCCAGTGGTCATCGTGGTGACATATTTCGACGGATCCCATGCCCTAAAGGCCAGCTGTGTCGAGTATGTCGTCTTATAATGAAGCCGCTGTGTTCATTTAGAAGCTGCTTTTTCCAGGAGGAAGATGATCCAAGGGTGGTGGTGCCTAAATGTCAGCTCACAATGCAGATCGAGGAACCATCAACTGCAGAGTACTGGTCAGTTGATTAGGGTAACAGCACCTTGAAATTAATCAGTTTTTTGGACCGATATTGTTGAATTATATTTACAAAGCAGGAGCTTTCAGAAATTATTTACGGGTTAGCTGCACACTTTGTCAAAGTTCACTTCGCTATTCATTTTTTTTATCCAAATCTGTGCTCTCCTACTACCCTTTTACAATTAAACTGTTTGCGGCGCTTTCGTTCCTGTGCTTTCGCTTTTACTCTTCAGTCGGTTCATTGCAGGTACGTCGTTCTGATCGCTTGTAATCTCGATAGCTCGTGCAATTGGACACAATCTAGCAGGGGCATAGTCGTTGAGTATGACATCTGGTTGACGAATGGACGACCGGGCTCCGCAGCAGCAAATCCATTAACGTGGCAGTTTTCCTTCGATGAGCAGGTACAAGCTGATATAGAGTTACGGTCGAAAGTTGTCACCGTAAGGCCATGTTCATACACGCGCCAAGTTGAAGAATAATGGAATTGGCGTGTACGGGACTGCCCCGATGAGTGGTCGTAAGGACGGATTTCTCCACAGATAACTGCACGGATTTCTATCAAAAATTTATTCACTAAGCAAACCAGGATAACAGGAAAGATGTGTCGCAGCCTGTTGATGCGCGCCAGGTACCTAATGAACGAAAAATATTCAAGGGAGAAGACAATTTCTACTTTCGGAACGCTCGCATGCTTCCAGGCACAAGGTTACGAAACTGGGTAATGAAAACGGGTCCCGGTTGATCAGGATAGATAGAATTTCGTGAGTTTCGATATGCCTTCAGGCCTTTGGAAAACAGCGATGTTGTTGGAACGCTATTCGTTGGTGTAATTTTTAGTTATTTCGTGCAGTGTGTGCAAAAGTAGACGGTTTTAGTCAACCAGTCATTAATTTCAATCCCCCTCCTCCAAGGCAGAATAAGCAATTCCACCGCAAAAAAACCTGTCCGGCATGAGGAAGAAATTATTGATTGCATAAGTACAAATGCTCAGGTTATAAGAAAAGCAACATGACTTTTACTTTTTGACCCGCTCTATTTGTGGAATATTCATCTGCTTAATTCAGGATACTCTCGAGCTTTACATGGTTACTTTGGTCATGTATCTCATACTTTCGATGATAATGTCACGTGGAACGCAGCTGACCAAGCGCAGTGTTCCTCCTGCTAGGTTGAGGTATGGCTTCACCATTTTCTGATCATTTATAATATTCTTTTTTAACAGTTTTTTCTTGCTTGTGATCCAGAGGAAACCAATCATTCAGGTAGTTTGGTAGTTTTTCTTAAGGGGGAGGGATGTACGTAGATGAGTACCTTATTGCTCATTCAGCTGTTTCTAACATAGCTATATGTTAGTTTTCTTCCTTCTAATTGCTGCTGAATTTAGGTTGTTGAATTATATAATAACTATGAAATGTTTGGGTGTCGCCTTACAATCCTTGAATGTGTTCGTATTTGCTCTTGATGGGCAAGGCTTATTTCTTGCCAGAGTACTGGGAGAATTCATTAGGTGAGCGTTCAAACCTAATATTTGAATTGACATTAACCTAAAATTACCCTATACCCTAAAATCACATTGTTATTTTTTGCTACATTGGCAGTCTAAAGGAAGGCTTGGCCATGTTAGTCTGAACGACTGAACCCTGTGACTGAAACCGCATTCTAGGTGATTTTTGTCCATGCAAGCAGATATTTGTTTAGGGTTTGGAAAAGTTGGTATGCACGAATCTATTTTATATGTATTATTTGGTTAGCTACATACTTGCAGTTCATGCTAGCTATTAATATTGCTAGTCCAATGCTTTAATATTTTGTAGTCCTCCTTGCATGCGGGTTCTCTATAGCTTTCCGTCCGCTCTAACAAACTCAGCGGAGACTTCTATGGTATTTCGTGTTCACCGACCCTGCGTTCACGACCGCCCCACCTCCCCAGCAGCCCAA